TAAAGAAGCCTGTGTCCTACTAAATTTATAAAATGAGAATTTTTATAAAATTTAATTTTACCTTCTTTCTGAGGGAGAGGCTTAGATGACACTCAAAATCAATGTGATTGTGTATTGTCATCGAATTTATGTTTTCCAAATGTTCGAAATTTAAGTTATATAGAAGCATCAACATTTTTAAACTTATGTAAATATGTGTAATCATATAAGTAAGGGAGATGTGTGGGCCACATTACCCTTACCAAATTAATCTTAATCAGGTGTATCAGGTCAACATAAGCCTGTATTCATCATAAGTTATTTACAGCAACATTATAAAATCAACTAATTAAAAATGTTAAAATTCAATATTTCAAAAATTATGTGCATTAGTGCAAGTTAAACGAAAATATTTTAAAATATGCTTCATGTTTGGTGCAGTAATACTATAAACATTTTGTTACTTATTCTACAGGAATGGTCTCCAATTCATAATTTAAAATCCTTAAAGAAGAAGCTGGCATATGTAGAAGAGAAAGAACAATCGGAGCCGACAAACATTGCCGCCAGTGCTCCTTCAGGAGAACTGAGTAAATTTGTTTTTTCATCAATACTTCCAACATATCCATCAGTGTAAATAACTAAAGTCGTAAGTGTTCAGATTCGCTCTGCTTTCTTCACATATGTCAAAATTAAATGATATTTTTTTATTTGTAGATCGCGGAGAAAATGCTGAAAAGCAACTTGTTGCAAGAGAACATTTTGTATTTAGCGACTCTGATAGCCAGTTGTATCATTTCTCAGTGGAAGGAAACATTGTTCGTGATGGAATTAAAATTCCTCCTGAAGTAGGTTTTGAACTAATTTCATTTCAATTTGTATAAAATACCCCAAAACATACTCAAAATTGATGCAATAGTTCTGTTGCTGTGGTTCACACTTGCTTTTATTTCTTTTGCTTATTAATAAATATTTGTAGTGTTGTATATTATTATTATTATTATCATCATCATCATCATCATCATCAAATTCTACCACCAGTTTTTGTAAATATTTGTTTCTATCTATCTAAAATACTCGACTATAAAAAAAATTGCAAATTTAATTTTACAGAATGGTGTTGGAACAGTAACTAGTATTGCTTTCAAAAATGATCAAATTGTTCAAGGAGATGTTGATGGTTTGTTGAATATCTGGGATCTGAAAGCTCGGACTTCTAAGAACGTTCATACTGGCCGTGGATGGATAAAAAAGATGAGATTTGCACCTGGAAAGGGCAATTTGAAATTGCTTATTTTGTACAGTGATGGAGTGGATGTGGTGGATCTGAAAAAGGTATGAACCTTATTTTTAAGCTATTATGTAACATTGTTATGGATCTATTAATTTCCTTACTTTTTATTTGCAGAATAACGAAAGGATATCTCAGTTAAAGTGCCCCAAGGATATGGTAAAAGTATTGGATATTGACTGGGCTGCATCTGATAAACCTGTGCTAGCTACACAAGATGGATGTTTACGTATAATGGACATGACACTTACCACCAGTTTTTCTGCTTTGGTTGACTATGAATTTCCAGGTAAAAATCTGCTAACAGTCTAATACTGAATTGCTATGGAATCTAAAGTGCTTTTTTCAATGATATGATTTTTCACAGAACCTATATTCTGTCCTGCATTATTACCATCGAAAGCTGCCTGTGTCCTACAGTTGCTTGTATCAACACAATTCTGGAAAGATCATTATTCTCTGGCTTTCTCCACAGACGATGGATTCTCTGAAGGAGAACTGCAAGGTTTGTAATTTTCTATGGTTTTGTTTGAGAGAAAGAGCATATCCTTGAAATGATGAATATTATTTTAAGTACCTCGTGTTTCACATGAATGTTCTCTCCAGTGTGAGAATGTGAAAAATTGAATGCAGTTATTGTAGAATTTCAGTGTTTTAATTGCATATTAATTATTGTTAGTGTTAACATTAGGGCCACTTCATAAACTTTGAATAAATGGTGTGTGTGAATGAGATAATGGAGTCTCTGAAAGGATCACTGGTAAGATCCCAGAAATTGCTGAATACGAAGTGCATCTGAGATCCTGAGAGATCTGTGATTAAACTAGGAGGGCTCCTGAATGAATGGGTGTGTAATTCTGAAGGAGAAACAGGCATGTTTGATGACACAAAATAGGTACATAGCATTCCTCGTGCAGTGAAATTTCAACTGAACCACGTAGGATGTTTTCTGATCTCACATTTAATATTCCTTTAATTGCGAGATTTGATAGTTTCTGTTTTGTTGAGTATTTGCTTTTTTTTGTTCTAGCTGTGAATGAACAGTTGAGCATGCTAGATTCTGAACAACTTGATTATCTTCAAAACTGTCCTCTTGGAACTGCAGAAAGAAGTCTCATAGCTGCTCGATTATACGGAAATCAGAGCGAAATTGACTTTTGGACAGTTGCTCTTTATTACTTACAAACAGCTGAACTTGAGGCAAAACACGGGTTAGTAATTATGCATGACACTGAGGAATGGCTATGCCAAAAATGTATTCATCAAAGAAAATTGTTGACGTAATACTATTGTCATTTTAGCAAACCAGAAATGGATCAGGCTGCTGGCGGAGATCTCTTAGGTACAGGATCTCCAACAGTCTTGGATACAAAACGTATCAATAGGTATCCTCATTTACAGCCCCTGGATTCATGTTATGATATTCTCTGCGAACCTTACTCGTATCAGGTAAATAAGCTTGTGGTATGTCACATATCTAAGTAAAATTACTGTTTTATTAGTTGGCTATAATTCACTAGACTCACTCGTGTTATCCATTATTATTTACGCATCAAGAGATTAGGAAAAAGTTGGTTAACCAACAACCACACTTGTCTGATTCCCAAATGTATGTGATAACATATTTTTAAACATAGTCTGTTCAGTAATTCAGTACCAATTTCCATTGGTATTGCGTATACATTAAAAAAACAACTATGTATGCAGCCATGCGAATGGTGTATGTGGTTTCACACCTTCTTAGATGACTCATTTCTATGATGTATAAAAATAATAAAATGGTTTCTATGTTGTCTGATGAATGCAAAAATTTGACTGATATTCCATCTATTCTTGTAGTGCACATACTGACAGAATTCTCACACACAGTGTGTCACTGTTCAAACAACTGATGTCAACTGACAGCAAGGCTTTAATGAAAAGGCTGCATGTAACATGAACGGGTTGTCATATTTTTAATCAATTTCAAAAGATATTCCTTTTCTAAAGGATTTTTAATTGATTTTATCGTTTAATCTAAGGCACAGACTAATCCAAAACTACAGGGTACTAGTATGTCTTAGACAATTGACTACCATGCTGTCAGAATTTTTTGATCAATATACCGTATTTCCCTGATTGTAAGCCGACATTTTCCCCCCTTTTTTGTAGTTAAAAAATTGACCCTTGGCTTTGAATTGATGTCTTCGTGTTGCTATAACATAGTTGACACCAGACATACATAAAGATGTCTATTTTTCGTTGGCCATGCAGCCGACACGGTAGAACGTACCTAAACCTCTGTTTATTGTGTTCTAACACAAGATACTCCCAAATTCAGTCATTTCCTAAGAGCATTATTGTACACGCAAATGAAAAAGGGTGGTTTAGACCTGATGTTACAGAGTTTATTTGGTTTGGCACACACCCTGGCGCTTTGTTGAGGTTAAGTAGCTTCCTGGTTTTAGACTCTTACACAGCCCATACTACTGAGGCGGTGAAGGAGTTGAAAGATCTGGGAACCGACTTGGCAATTATTCCAGGGGGGCTAAACGTCAATACTTCAATCCCTGGATGTGTGCATCAACAAACCATTCAAGGACAGGTTGAATAAAATGTACTCAGACTGGCTTTTCAAAGAAGACAGAATGCTCTCGCCCACAGGGTGCGTGAAACCGGCTAGTTTATCGCAAGTGTGTGCTGGGATAGATGATACCTGGAAGATTATTCCTAGAGAAGTTGTCGCAAGGGCTTTTAAAAAGTGTTCAATGTCAAATGCCCTTGACGGCAGCTTAGATGTCTTGCTTTTCGTGGCCAAAACTGACTGTCAAGTAGGGGAATCTGAGTCATCCGATGATGGCGTCTGAGTCAATGATCTCTAAAATGTATATAAATCAGTGGCCTGAGTGCATTAAACATCAAATGTATTTCTTTTTCCTTGGGATCGGCTTATAATCGAGCAAATATGGTATTTGTTCGTATACTTCTTAAAGCTTGCGATGTACATTAAAAGTATTTTTATCCTATTGTTTTCTATTGATCCTTAGAGACTTCAGTTAGAGAGAGTTTCATTACATGAAAGTAAACGAGGAGATTATCAACATACAAAGAAAGTTATAGAGCAGTTGATATTACTTGGGGAGATGGATCGTGCTGTGCAATTGTTGCTAGAAACTGAATTTGACAACCCAAGTTACTATACTGATGCTATAAAGTATGTATGAGCTGTGTTCACATATGTTATGTAATTGTTGTCTTGGTGAATTTATATTTTAAAGCATTAAATTAAATAGAAAAATATTTTTTGAACCAATCAACAATTTTGGTCATTTTCAGAGCTTGCCTTGTAGCTACTATTCAGTCCACTGGTGCAGCTCAGAGTACAATTAAATTAGTTGCAACAAATCTTATTGCTAATGGAAATATTTGGGAAGGTGTACAACTTCTTTGCCTTATTGGCAAAGGATTGGATGCATGCAGATATTTGATCTCTTATGGACTCTGGGAATCTGCTGTTTGGCTGGCAAAGAGTGTTCTTCCGTTGGCAGAGATGCATGAAGTGATGCGAAAATGGTGTGAATATCTTTGGGCTGGTGGACACAAGGTAGGACACTGATAGTGTTTCCTTGACTTCTTAATAAGAAATTCAGTATTTGTTTGTTTATTGTGTTTACTTCATACATTGTTTCTATTTACAGAATAAAGCAATTTTGGTAACTTTGTCAATGGGGCAATTCGATCGCACCCTTGAATTACTAGGAATGCAGCGTTTGCATGGTCAAGCTGGACTTCTTCTACAAGCTTGCAAAGAGTTTGGAGTTTTCCCCAAATCTTCTACATCTGATATCCTTTCAATCTAGAATTGTTTTGTAGAGTATGTGTTCGAATATTTTCATTTTACATTAATTTCTTTCAGGATCAATTTCTACACTGGGAATTGTCATTAAATTGAGGTTTCTCATACTATGTGGGTATTGCGCTTGCACACATGTACACACACACACACAAGTTCATACCACTCTGCTTCTTGCAGCCTGCTCCCTTTTTAAAATGTTATTTGTTTAGGTTGGGTGTATATCGCACTTGTTTCGTTTTTCCCGAGTTTGTGTGATGGAGTATTACCCAGAACATGGTTGATGGAACTATCACTGTTTACATATGAAATATAAAATGAGTATAGTATGTTCTTTAACAGGAAGAAAGTGTATAAATAATTGAATTGTTTACCATGCCTTCTTTCTCTTTCTTTAACCCTCATTTTGCAATGAAAATTCTCTTATTTACCCAAATATAAAATGACTCAAAATATAAGATAACCCCCTAATTATAAAGAGGTCTATTATTTAGAGAGATTTATTTATTATTTGGGAGAGGTCTTGTTATTTAGTTAAAATAAAATTGTATATTGTCTAAAGACTAGAAAATTTGTTTCGGGCCGTGCACAAAGACCTCGCTTCCCAAGAATCGAAGATGCTAAACATGGGGTTTTCTACCAACCCACAATTTAGAAGATGTTCTAATGTTATCACAACTCTTGGTAACATGGTTTCTAATGTGTGCTGCAGTTTGCACCAGTTCATCCCAAGCAGCCTTATGTAAGTCTCTACTGTTAATTTCGGATCTTGTGAGGTACATTAGAGTCCAGTTTAATTTTTATACCACTCCATTTTGTTGTGATATGTCTGTCATGGTTTTCTCCAGCACTCTGCCATTACTCATACAGAAGCTATCCCAGATTTTAGAGCAGAATTCAAGACCATTATCAGTCCAAGACCTTCCTCTGATTTCAACCAGTCTGCTCGGTTGATATCTTCCAGTTTTTAAATTCTGCCAAAACTTCTATGGTTTTGAGAAGTCTGTTGAAAACTTATCAGCTGGCATTGTCCACTTTGCCCAAAACATGTGTTATCCACAAAACTCTTTGACATCTATTGGACCTATAAGATCCACGGGAACAAGATCCTGGGTGACACTATTATTCACTTCTGATGCGGGATGGTTGGGGAATGGTTGATGCGCAGCTTTACCAGCATGGCAATCGTCACATGGAGTTCTCTCTTCGCAATGCAACCCAATGACAAATTGTGTGCACCATGTTCATAATCTGATGCTTGCTCACAACCATAAATCTTCTGTGCCCCAAGTCCAATGGCTCCAGTTTCCCTTAACTGCGATTTAACACTTTTGCTGCAGCATTGTTCACATTAGGGTATGTTTTAATGACATACAGGTGGCCTTCATTCTCTATTCAGATCAGCAGGTTGCCTTCAGTATCGTAAATGCCAACAAAATCTTGATTGAATGCGACTACCTTACTGTTTTCCACTGTTTAATGGAAAAAATTTTGTGGCTGAAGCCTGGCACCAAAAGTGTATTCTGTGCTTCCATTTGGTGCAACTCCTAATTATTGATGCAAGTATGGTACCTGTTCCTGTTGAGGCTACAGTTGTAAAGTGGTGGCGATGGTGTAATGGTTAGCGAATCACTGTTATTATACCCAAGTTTAAGGGTTCAAACCCGATAGAAGCCGTGGATTTTTAAGGGCGAAAAAATCCTTTGTACGCCTTCCTTCAGAGGGGAAGTAATGCCGGCTGTCCCATGTTAGTAGATTTTCTGCATGTAACAGATCCTCCAGCCTAAATAAAGCCTCTCAGCTAAATTCAAATTGCCTGTTTCGTCACCCAAGAAATACCTCCTTTCTCTGCTAGTGGGTGAAAGCCTGTAGTGAAATTTGCATGGTCAGGTGTAAGAGTGAGCCTGATGGCCTTAGTCTCACCACGTAAAATAAGGCATCTATTCAATTCAATACAATAGAGTCTGCTGTCTAACGTTCTCAACAGTGGAATTTCGATTGATGTACAAAAAATACTGTTCATTTGGGGTCATATGATATGTTGCCCACAATCGAGTATGAGTCAGCAATCCATACATCGCCATTCATTATAGCTGACCCACAAGAAACATTCATACTTGCAGTTGCAGAATTTGTGAAATACTTGCAGTGGGTAATTTCTGGTAGTTTTAGGGCACTCTCTGGCATAATGACAAGTCTGGTTTCAAAAGTCCAATGCCTTTCTGTCTGTTCTGTCCTTCCTGTTGGCAGGGGAATTTTTGTTCATGGTGCCTAGCATTCTCTGCTAGGAGTCTTCTAATAATAATTCAACTGTTAAAATCAGCTTGCGGTGGATTACTTAATGCCAAGGCCACATAGTCCCATTCTTCCATTAACCCACATGAGATGGTGATAATGAGGTCGCCATCATCAATAGATTCTCTAACGTTTGCCAGCTCAGCTACTATTTGGTTCACTTGCCCCAAGTATGTTTCCATCAAGTTGTGTCCACTCAGTTTCTCCACAAGTTATAATGAAGTTGCACAAAACAAAACTGACTCTCGTGTGGTGCATGCAGCTGTTGCAACTCTTCCCATGCTTTTCTTTTGGATTCCAGGTGTCAGATGTGTATCTGCTGCTTGTTGCACAAGGCAAGGGCAGTTTTTACATATGTCTTTCCCTGTATTGATATGTATTTAAAATATTCTAAAGCTTAGATGGCCCCTAAATTTCAAATGAGATATTTAGAGAAAAAACCTAGGTAAATGTGGTAATCTTTGTTGCTTGAAGATGTTTTGCTCATTGTTTTATTTATTATATAAAGCCTAATTGAAATTACTTTAGAATGTAATATTTTTCTTTCAAAAAATTTAAGCTTAATAGACCTTTCAGATGCTTCAGAGAGAACATTTTGTGTTTGTTTGCTATTGAGTTTAACAGCAATAAAGACAGAAATGAGCAAGATACATAACTACCTCCAACTGTTCATATGTGGGTTTCAGAGAGGAGAGTCCTGTCACTCTCCGTGATTCCCCTCTTGCATGAGCACGGACATGCTTGTTTGGTGGGGCCATTGCAGAAGCATGTCCCAGAGGCCATTTTGGTTCCAGAAATAACAGAAAAAATGCTGTCACTTATCTTTGGCACTTAGTTAAAGAAAAGATATCTAGTATCCAGCTGCTCAATCATGTGTCTCAATACTACTGCGGCTTTGAGGTTGTTTAGCACACATTTTGCAAGTTTTCGTGTGAAGGGCTTATTTTTAACTGTGTTTTCATAGTAAATAGAGATTGTAATGAATTTATTTCAAAAAATATAGTGATTATTGTGTATTATTGCTTCTACGTCACACTCTGTGGCAGACATTACAAAAACCAGGTGTGAGAAGTATTTCAGAGTTCATAATATTTTAAGAATCTAAAAATGAAGATTGAGTGCCAAAGATGACTAGTGTAGCTACTGGTTAATCAATGTAAAAAAAAATTATTTGTGAAGGGAAACCATCTTCAGCTAAAGATCTTACACTTTCCATTCCAACAATGAAGAAATCAGAAAGAAGATAAACATTGTGGTTAAGTTTCCTTAAAGAAACAATTAGACAAAAGATTAACTTTTATACTGGAAACAGTATAGCAAAGAAACTTACGTAAAATCTGATAATTGTAGTCAGGGAAATCAATGAAATCATTATATTATTCAGTAACTTCTGTAATCATGACAGACAGTGACAATAGCAACAATGAAGATGAGTGACGTTGCGTCAGTTCAGAGTGGCAATAACAAGAAGCAAACTCCACTCGTGGGACATATACACAATTTATGCTCCTCCTCCAAAAGGAGATTTATAACTTGCTGAGCTATAACGAAATTAGCAATACTGACTAAGAGCTCTTTTCCTGTAAAGTGAAACTGAACTTAACAGACTCTAACATTTTCTGCCAAAATAAACCATTAATAGACGTGATTACTGAAAGCATTACTGGATCTATTGTGGTGATTACGATGTAGTAAAATATATTAAACTCACTTTTTGTCTTCATGAGAACTCGCAAGCAAACTAGCCTTATAAATGACATTCACATTCTTTAGAAACTTGAGAGCAGGATCATCAAACAAATAAGTGAGAAACCATGTCTTCGTGCTTATGGCCTGCTCTGCAAGCCCTTCCTAAGTTCAATACAGGAGAAGCAGATGATAGCAATCTTCAGAAGAACATTTTGGAATTGGTGTAGTGGACTATTTGATTTCATAAAAAGATGTTTATAGGACCCTGAATCAAAAGTATTTTTCACACTTTTCCACTTCTTATTCTATTATGTTTCAAAATCACTAGAGGTGACCATGGTCGGTCTATGAAATGTGCCCGGCCGGTGGCCGCAGGGATTGGTAATCACTTAAAAAAGGAAATATGTACAAGTTTCCATTATGGAAAAAGCAATCTATTCTATGAAAAAATGCCAGTAAAGAAGGTGACCACGAAGGTACCACCAGCAGGATGTATGTAATGATAGGCTTATATTTAACAAAGTGATATCAACTAAAAGTAATGATGACTGGTTACAATAATAAATGAAGAACTAAACTTATCTATTGTTATTTTTTTGTGATTTTCATTGCAACATTACATAAAGTCACTACCAAGTCTGCAGAATTGTTGTCATTTGAGGCCATTTCATAAAAACTACTGTTATTACTTGAGGATCTACTATTTGAGTATATTATAAAAAGTTTTCACGGGACGATGTTCATATTAGAACCAATAGTAAAATAGTACCATGTATCGTGGCAAAAAGTAATTTTCTTTGTTGTATAATGACTATTTGTAACTTCACCTTCACGCTTAATCAATTTCACTCAGGTAAAACCAAGTGGTGATTATGTTTAAATTTAGTGTGTGTGAACCAAGAAAATGTTGTAGTTTTAACAAGTCTCATCTGCAAGACAATTGTTAATGTGGTGAAGACAATTTGCAACTTTTATTTTCACTAATAGGTAAGTGGTTGTGTTAAAATTTTAAAAATTCTTCAGAAGACTCTTCAAAATTAGGTTATTCATCTTATATCTTGCATTCCAGATACATATGGTATTTGTATCATTAATGTTTTGTTGTAAAGTGTAAATTCTGGAGCTGCTCTAATGATTCAATGAGAAATTCATCCTTAAAGGCCTGTCAATATCTAAAAAATGTCCTTTCGTGAAAAGACAATCTTCCAGTTATTCTCCTTAATTCTAAACACAGCTTCTTGCTAATGCAGTGAAATTGGATTTTGCCAAACATCTTTTCAGCCTGGGAAGTCATCAAGCAGCCTTACAGCTCAGTCAACAATTGGGTCCAGCAGGGGAAAAATTGTGCAAAGAATTTATGATTCTTGCTTCAGAAAATGTATAATTTACATTGTTTGTGCATATATTAAGGTGTGTAATTATTTGTTAGTCATATTAACTTGAATTAATTGATTTGTACAAAGTATATAGTCACATATTTAATTATATTTCGTTTACATTCCAAAACAATTTCTCATTTGTAATACAAAATTCGAATACAGAGTTTATAAACCGTTCATGGAATACTAAGTATATTTTTTTATCATGAAGGTGTTTTTTCCCAAATTATTTAAAACGACATCCTTTTCTTGTCATAAGATCACTAAGGTTAAGAAGTTAACTGAATGCAATAGATAATAAAGTAACATTGAAGTATTACTGTTTCCATTTATTCATTACTTCTATTATATGTTTGCAAAATGAAATATTTGATAGTTACCCTATTCTGCTCTGTTTTCCTTTTCAATTATTTTAGCTTCTTATTTTTCTGTCTCCTTTTTGTCCACATTTGTGTTCAAGTATACAATGATTTGTTAGGTTCAAGTTCTGTGTTGACCACTTAGTAGTGGATGAGGTACTCTCAATCGATGGAGATTCTTCTTCTGCACATTATGGATTTCATTTAGCAACTGTTTTTCTTCCTGCCAATGTATAATTACAGAAGAATGGTATTCATACAGAAGAATTTAAGACTGATTTCTCTGCCAAAACAACTTTATGAACCTACATTTTGGACGATGTGTACACATTATTGCATTTATGAGTACAATCTGCCTTAAATGATGTCTTATAAAGTTTCTCAAAAGCAAAGTTTTTTTTGTGAAAATGAGCACAAAATTCCACGTTTTCAGAAAAGCTTAAACACTCTTTTCTCAAAACGGCTCCAAAGTTTTTTTTAAATGTCTCTCTCACTGTTAATATGCACATTTCCAGCGATTTGTATACAATATTGCATTTGTGAGGAAAAGTGCTTCAAATAATTTCCAATGAAGTTTCTTGAAAACTCAAAATGTTCTGAAAATGGTTGCACAAAATGGTTCAACAAATTTTGCATTTACAATAATGCATAAACGACCTTTTTTTAAAAATTCGGCTTCAAATATAACGAAAAGTTCCGTATAAGTTCTACCATTAGAAAACATAAAAATTGAGAAAATGTTAAAAACTGAACTTTAGGCGGCAATAGGGTAGGACATGACTGAAAAAGCTAGCTTAGACCAAAGAAATTAGAAACCTAACTACTATGAGGAAGTCAGTGCCATTCTGTAGTACCACTAGTTTTATGAATGAATATGGTAGATGGTTCATCAAAATCATAGCTGAAGTACTATGTTTGACCAAATCAGATAAAGCTTGTGGGTATACTGTGTTCCAATTAATTGTGCATAATTTTAATTCCCGAGTGCCTAGTCTACTTAATTCAGGTGATACCTATCATTTACTTGAAATACCTCTGTTTTCGCAAAAATGTGTCCACTTGGCTTCAGAAAAGAGTCAGGCTTTGTGTTGTCATTAGCAAGTAATACTTCTTGAATGAAATTGGCCTTTTCTAATGAGATAAAATTGCTTGCATTTGAGTGTTTGATTGTGCTTTGACTTGCTGCACTTTTTCTTGGGTCCACTTCAGGTGCAGTTGGAGACTGTGGAGATTTGCTAATTGCTAGATTATCTCCCTGGAAATAAATTAGCAATTCTCTAATTGCTGCATTGAAGTATTACCAGACTGAAAATGAAATACTAACCTCTAAGTCAAAGCTTTCTAACAAATTCTTAATTAATTGTTGATTTTCTTTGTCATGAGGTTTTTTACTGGATTTTTGAAGGGCTTTTTGAATAGCTTTACTTTTTAATTCAGTTCCTTCAATAAACTTCAGTATTTCTTTAAAAACAGTTTCATTGTTTTCGTTAGCAATCGCTAATGGAATAAGTGTCTCAAACTGGGGTCCTTGGGCATTTATCAAGCCTGAAATATAATTACTTGAGTATGAGAGTGTTTCACTACAATAAATATTAGCAAAGTATTTAGCAAGTTAACACTTACGCAGTGTATTAAACGCTGATTCTCGGACTTCTAAATCCTTATCATTTACCATATTGCAAATAACACTTAAAAACTTTGGGTTATTAATTCCCAACATTCCAGTGACACTAAGTCCTATAATTTTCACATTTTTAATGTCACTATTTAAACATGGAAACAGGATGCCAGCAATCTTGGGGTCAATACGTTCTAAAACATTGGAATATAGATAGACATGTGTGAAATTATTTCTGATTTTTGCGTTCTTAAAACAGTCATCAATAATAAAAGAATATTGTATAAAATAAACAATTATATACCTTCAAACTATAATTTGTATACTTTAATCATGTACTAATTGTTTGAAGGTACTCATACGAAATTATCAGAAGAGAAGTAGAAAGGAAAAACTGAATAAGAAATATTGTGCCTGTGAGGCATTTTCTATATAGTAAGAAAACAATTCTAACTTTCGTTTGATAAATATTGGGTTATTGGTATTCAAGTGAAACTCACTAAATCCAAAAGCTGTATTTAAAGATAAATAGTTTCATTACTATAAAAGTTGATACTATAAAATGTGTAACTTCTATAACTTTTGCTAGGTAGGAGATAAAACCGGCTTTCTTTTACACGTTTTAAATAAGTAATGTTGCTTTTAACCAAGAAAATATCCAGTTCAGAAGTGAGTTTTTCCTCTACAATTTACTGATCAGCGACTTACATAAAAAGCAAAATTATCAGTAATTTAGTAAATCCAAACTCCCAACACTTCAGTGACTGCACTAAGGAAAACTGAGATATTCACAGACCAATTTATTGACCTATCTGAGGAATTTATCGTTAGATCTCTGAAATTGTATAGATAAATAGTTTCGTTAGGGGACTGGAAAATTAATAAAGTTGTTCAATAAATCAAGGCAATAATTTGAAGCAATACAGTTTTGTTTATGTTGTTTGACATAAACATAATTAAATATTTGCAGATAGAAGAAAAATATGAGGAGTTAGTATATACATTAGATAGCAGAGAAAGGAGCATCACAAATGATACTACTGGTGACAGGGTGTTGAGAATGACAACAAAAATGAAATAGAGAAACAAGATTGCGAAGACAATTTTGAAAATGATAAAACCCAAAATAGTGAAAATAGATTAGAAAAATTGATTTTTCTTATTCTAACTCCAATAAATGTATAAGTGTTATCCATACACAGGTAATTTTTAAAATCGCATTTTCAACTTGATTTGGGATAAACATTCCTTGTCAAGAATTTGGCATGAAGCCATTGTTATTCCAATCCCTAAAAAAGGAAAGGGCAGAACAATCCCTTGAAGTTACCGCCCAATTCGCTCACAAGCTGTGTGCAAGTTTTTAGTATGCAGTGTCGCGTCGTCGTGTGCGAATAACACACAGACGGAGTTGTTTTGTACAGATTTATTCACTAGTTTGTATACACTATCTACGGAAACACTATTCTCGGAAACTAGCGCTGCACTCCCAGCACTACACATCTCCGAGGCATCCCCGCCCCAGTCTGGCGCAGACCCCAGCGGCTAGGCGTCGCTCCGGGTCTCTCGTCCCGTGGCAACCGCCACACCTCGCAGCCGAAGCTTGCGATAACCCCTGGAGGTTAAAAAGGTGCCTTCCACACCGCGATTCCGTTCGACAACGAATGATCATGGCTGGTTACTCTCAAGCCGCCTCGCGAGGGGTCACGTGACATCTCCCATCCCGGCGGCGGTCTCTCATCCCGAAACTTGGGCCCGTTTGAATGGAGAGCCAGCTGCACCCCGCTGGACTCACCCATCATCTGCCTCTGCGCCAGTTGACACCCGCGTTCCGAGACACGCCCACCCCGGCCCTTGAGGAGGGCCCGCCTCTGGTGGCCTTCCCCTTGCCGCCAAAGGACTGCCCCCGCCCCCTCGCTGGCCTTCCGACTTGTGTGGTCCATCTGGCCCATTGGCACGACGTTATAATAGTAAACAAACGTCTGGTCTGGCTCCTTGAGCAAAGGAATCTATTTACACCATTTCAGTGTGGTTTCGGAAGCATAGGTCAACCATGGACCGCTTAGTCTCCCTTGCCACTCAGATCTCCACTTTTTTCGTGCTACAACACCTAGTAGTAATTTTTTTCGACTTAGAGAAAGCGTATGGCACCACCTGGAGGTACGGCACCTTGCATTCTCAGGGGACCGCTCCCTTCGTTTCAGATAGATTTTCTTTCGTCAAGATCTTTCCGCGCCCGCCTTGGTGACACATCCTCAAGTCACCAGTTAAAAAACGGTTTTTCCCAGGGATCAATTGTGATACTCTATCGTAGCTATCAATAGTATCGCATCTGTAATTCGATAGCTTGTGAAAGCATCGCTCTTCGTTGATGACTTTGGCATATTCTGCTCGTCGAAGAGCATGCAAGTTATTGAGAGGCGGCTACAGCTTGTCCTCAACAAATTGCAAGATGGAGCGATAAAGTTCTCCACCTCAAAATCCAGGTTCATGCACTTATGTAGAATATAACACCTCCATAATCATCCTGATCTTTTTTGGGGGGGGGGATCATCAACTTCCCTTCGTCAAATCTGCCACTTTCCTAGGCCTGACATTCGATAAGACTAACATGGCAATGGCACATTCAAATCTTGAAGAGACGCTGTTCATCACCATTGAACCTCCTTCGCGCCCTTACTGGTAGATCATGAGGCGCAGACAGAGTATGTCTTTTGCGCATATATAGGGCTATCTTAGATTATGGATGTATGGTTTATGGGTCAGCGTCTCCATCGACCCTCTTGCCATTGAATACCATACACAATGCCTGTACACGGATGTGTACTGTAATCGTCTCCTATGGTGCGAAGGTATCAGCCATAAATACTCCTTCGCACCAAGCAGTTCTTCGTCCAAATCACAGGACATCGTACGAATTCGGACTATCGTTACCCCATCCTCCGGGTATCGGTCTCTACACGCTCTTGCAGAAACTCAAAATAAAACTCCCCATCCCTGTTACCCCTCCCCCCGAAATCTGGTTCCCTCATGGAAGCTTCTCCGACCTGAAATAAAACTGAGATCACACTTCCCCAAATTCTCAACTCCCCCTAGAACATTTCTGGCGGAATTCTAGGAGACGAAATCCATGTATCCCGGCTATAACTTTAAAAACACTGATGATTCCTCCCAGAATGGTAATGTAGGTACTGCCACAGTGGCATGCGGAGTTTTCGACTAGACTCTTCGTGCAACGCTTATACTGCAGAAAAATTGCGCTCTTGGATGCACTTAGGTTCGCTGAATCGATGGCATGAAGCTGTGATCTGCAGTGATTCAAAAAGCTCGCTCGAACCTATCTCCTGCTTCTCTTCCTGTGACTCTCTGGCAATGACCGTCCAACACCAAATCCATAATTTACTGGTTCTTCGTTATAATTTGTTTTTTGTTGGATCCCTGGTCACGTTGGGATAATAGGGAACGAAATTGCTGACCAGGCAGCAAAGCTCGCCACGGATAAAACTGAGGTAGATATACTCATAGTCCCAACAAACGATACCAAGCAGTCTATCAAACGTTGTCTTCTCAGTGCATGGCAAACAGAGTGGCAGAACTCAGACTTTAAACTCACGAGAATCACGGATTCCGTAAAGGCTTGGTCTTCTTCATCTCGCGGGTCAAGACGCGAGGAGATACTTCTGACACGCCTTCGTATCGATCACTGTCACTTCTCCTACGGACATCTCCGCGGTGACCCACCCCCTACTTGCGATAGTTGCGAGACGGATCTTACCGTGGAGTATGTTCTCCTGCACTGTTCTAAGAAAAGATTTAGCCGGGAAGGCTTCACCTTGCTATCTCTAGCACAGGTACTTGGAAAGGACGAATGTTCTCTCTACAAGCTTTTTAGCTTCTTACGAGAGTCGGACATTTACAGCATTATCTGAGAGAAGAGGATTATGCCAATTATTTGGCTTATAATTGAAGATTTTAAAGTGTTTATCTGGCTCTTTTCTGCAAACCTCTTTTTTTAAATGATTGAACACATTCTCAGTTTTACATACATTTTACCTTGCATAATAAATGTTTTAGTCTGGCACTGCTACAGTGCGTATTGTGCCCTTTAAAAAAATTGACACGGGCGCCAATGACCTTAGCTGTTGAAGCGCCCTTAAACCTCAATCATCATCCGACAGGTAAGGCGACAGTTTCTTCAATGTTCAACTTTTCAATGCACACATTCTCGAATAACTCCTCAATTTCAATGTTTAATCGGTCATATTTTATAAAATGGTGAAAGATCTCTGTCCACAGATAAATTGGCTAGATTTGACCAAATAGTAATTACAAACACCTATGTACAAATAAATTGGACTGGTAATTTGAGAAGAAATATTGGTTCAATTAAACTCTTGGCATTAATATATCAAGTACAATTAAACTGAGAGATTTATCTAACGATTTTTTGGTTCAATTCAGTGCCACTAAATTGGTCTGTATATATCCCCCTAATGGAAAGGATCTCACTTAGCAGTGAAAATAACCAAATAACATCACAAATGATTTAATAAAGTTTCACTAGTTTTTCAATGATATTGTACTTATTCTAGAAACCTCTAATCTAAATACTTGGTAATATTTTTTGTATTTTTTTTCTTTTCTTCCCTGGTTAAATAAGCCATAATAAAATGTTTCTAACTTTTCAATATTCTTACTTAGCATTAAAGAAAGCTGAATCACTTCCAGAGCTCTCATTAGATTTGAAAAGCTTAACGACGTTGTTATGTGTTCCTGAATACAAACACCTCCATGTTTGCATTCTAAAACTCTGGCAGCAGCTAATCGTAAAACAAGGATGGTTGAATTACGCATCAAATGAATTAACATTTCTTTGACAGTTTGAGGCAAATTTCCCTACAAAATAAAATTATGATTAAATATTGGTGATGCAAATCAGGAATTACATTTATCGCATTACTTGCATTGGTTCTCACCTCAAGAAATGGTAATGTCAGACAAACATATAAACGAAAATGCAAATTTCGTGTTGCCAGATACTCGGCCACACTTTTAAGTATTGAAGGTTCATGACTGCTCAGCCAACGTAAAGCAGTTAAATATTTTTGCAATGTGTGAGGTTGTTGTGCGGTCTTCCATTCTTCTAGAATCACATGTAGTGCTGTATACTCAAAAATCCCAGCGTAAGCCTAGGCAATCGATTATGAAGTAGATACTGCTATATTAAAGATAATAGGAAAAATCACATTAAATTGAATTTACCATTGCCAGAGCTGCTATTCTCTTCTCTGTTGTTGTTATTCCTTTCACAGCTGACATTAATGTAGAACTTATTAATCCTCTGTTTTCATCACTTTTGCCCGTAAGAGCTAAAGCAAGGGCAGTTCCTAGTTTGACTTTGCCAAATGAATTTTTCAATGTGGTTTGCAAAGCTTGATCCAGTGATGGTATGTTACTGGGGTTTTTTGGAAGTGTTTGCAAATCATGGCCTGAAATAATTTACAATTATTTTAAATTAGAGAAGTTAAAAACTAGAAAAGTATTCTAAATTCCTGTTTTCTAATTGATTTGTCATTATGTATTAGGGCTTAAGAAATTACAATTCGCTGAAAATCTCACTTGAGTTGACTGCTTTGTAATTACTGAGATGAGGATTTTACTACATTTACATACATTCTGATGAATTTGCAAAAAATATTCTTGATTTTTATTGATTTGCTGGATGACCTCATTTAAAGCATTTGTGCCATACAAACAGGGAATGTGGATAATGAACGTATATTATTCAGGTTTCAAAATTTCCCATTTTTGTTTTTCCACATTTACGTCTTTTTGAAAGAAATATGCCCTCATTCAATGGGAGAAGTTGAAGTAGAAATACACTGTTAACTCATTGTTTAAAAACATGGAACAATAACATCATAATGCATAATATTTCATGCAACTGTTTAATTAGTATTTGTGTAATGCTTGAAAAAGCTTATCTTTAGGGAAAGATGGGGCAAAATACCAAATATCTTACTGGTTAAAAGTATTTCAGACTCCTCGTTTTTGATTGGTCTTGTTTCAGAATAAAGATGCATTAGTGTACAAAGACTTGAGAGTCGTTGGCTATCACTTACTGCAGTTGAAGTGTAATCATTCACCAAAGCTTCAACAGAGATCTGAAAAGGAAATGCCGCAGTTTCTGAACAACTTATATTCATGAGATTACATTTCACAGACAGAAAGACTTTAAACAGAAATATCTAAGAATTTGAAAAATTACCTTTCCAGAAGTAATAGGCTTTAATTTGTGAAAGTGGCACCATTCTCGAAAAATAATTAAAGGATTATTTGAAAGAAATTCCAAGTCTTTTACTGATGCAGGAAAAGGAGGGAACGTCTGATATGTGTATCTAATGCAATGAAGGTATTTTCCTTTTGTATTTAGGGTTTTCATTTCTTGTTCATACAAATTTTGCAAAGAATGGAAACTTTCTTTGAAAAACAGATCATCAGAGGGTGGCGCTTTCATTGAACATGTAGACCTTTCTTCGTCTTCCTCCTCTTGTTGCTGCAAGGATTTTATTAGTATTTCATTTCATAATATTCGCCTGAAACGTACTTAGTGCATCAAAAAAGTTCCTTGATTATGTTCATCTACTTATAAGCAAAGTTTGGATATAATTCACACAATACAGTAAGAATGATTTGCAGTGTTCAAGGGCTACCCTAGGCTTGCGTTTCTATTATCTCTCTTGTCACAGTTCTACAGTTCTTAAAGCTTACTTTAAGTTTCTAATTTTCGTCTCGATTATACTAAAAAGTTTCGCATAAGTTATTTCATGTGTGTTTTGTATTATTGTATGAATTGTACGTTTGTGGTAAAAGGGTTATTTTTAATGTATAATGTCTTTCAAATTTATTGGACTTTGTATTCAGAACGAAGTAAATATTTTAAAACCTGAAGCAAGCCCTGCGTATGGGGCACCGGTCTACAAGAGAAAAACAGATTTCCGACACAAAGTGCCATACTACTACAGGCAATTTCCAAGTGACGGGCATCGAAACAAATCTATTACTGGCTTGCCAAACAGGTATCCCTGAGATTCGGAAAGGAAACTCAAATATAATGCATTTTCGCTTTTAGAAAGTTCTATAATTTATCTGGCAGAATCAGACGTTTAAAAATCTCAGTATTTACGTTGAGTAAATATCTTTGACTGGGTTGTGATGTGACAGTTGAAGACAATGTCCACATTTTGAATGTATAATATAGTAGATATGTTTCCATACGTCCCGCTATGTGTAGTAGAAATGAAAACGATGTTTTACTTCAGAGCTGTGTTTCGAGTGATAAGGATGTGTGTTGTAGAACATATTACCATGGAAAACTACGTGTTCTATGATTTTCACCCCAAAATTGTTTGCATGGCGACCGAAACATTGGCAATACTACCTAGGACGCGGCATCTCAGGGAGAGCGAAGACTTCATTGACTTCGACCGCTGAAGTCTTTGTTTAGTGTTCAAGTTCTGCCCACTGAGTATTTCAAGAAGCCAACATGAATGTGTAGGAGCAAGACTGTGGCTTGTCTTTCTTCCTTGGAGGGCTGTACTTAATATTAATAGTTCAGCAATACTGCTCTTGCGCATGAATGTCTGCCGACGCTTAGAGTGGTATTGTAATGTGCCGCCCTTTGTACAATTGGTAAAAATATGAAACCGTATATAAATTAAGACCTATGCCACTGCATTGAAGAGCATTTGGCTGACGTTAATGGGAATATACCATAAAATTGGTTGTCAAGGGAGCTGAGAGCAATGTCGACCCTGCGGACGGCTGCTTTGTTTCTCATTTTCAGGAACGTCCAGAAGGGGTAGGGCTGCTAGGGCAATTTGACCCGAACCTCCGCTTAATGGCGAAGTCGCTTGCCTTTCACCACTGAAGTTCCGGGTTCGATTCCCGTAGATTCTCAGTAGAAACTTGTTACGACAAGATGAGTTTGCATGCATCACAAGGGCTAGTCTCACCCCTGTGAATTGTCCTAAACCCTACCCTAACCCTAATTCCTTCCCAATTCCGGCCGCAGAGAGGAGTAGGAGGTGCGTACGCGGAGATGCTACTTGGCG